AGATGGCCCTGGCCCCCTCTCTGCCTCTGACACAGAGCCCTCGTCAGAGCCTTCCCCAGACTCCAGGACTGGCCCATGCTCCTCCTCAACTTCCTCCTCACTGTCCGAATCTGCTGCCAGCTCTGCTTGGAGGGCCACAACAATGGTGATTAATGAACCACTGGATTTGCACCTACTGTATAAATAACAATGTTCTCAAAACTTTTTTCTAAGGCAGTTTAACTATTTGAGGAAAAAAAAAAGAGAGATTTGGACTAACAATGCTAACTACAGAGCCGTGGTGGAGCAGTGCTTGGAACATAGGACTGCAAGCTACTTCTGCTGGTCACCGGCTGCCAGAAGTTTGGCTCAAGGTTGACTCAATCTTCCATCCTTCCCAGGTCGGTAAAATGAGGACCTGGATTGTTTGGGGGCAATAGGCTGACTCCGTAAACTGCTTAGAGAGGCAATGTGAAGCAATATATAAGTCAAAGTATTATTGCTTCATGGTGTGCAGCAAGTTACACAAATTGGCTGGTTCTTAATTTTATACTTCTGAGCCTGGAACAGACATGTAATGGGCTAAGGTTTACCCTCAGAAAACCAATGAAAAGTGGTACTGTATGGAGAAAAGGGAATAGCTATGGAGTTTTATGAGCCACAGACCGGGTTAATCAATCCACCAACACAAACCTGGCTCTGTAGTACTATGGAACTAGATTTCCAAATTAGAACCCCAAATCGCTACTGTTAAAACAACTGGAAGTCAGAAATCCTACAAATCAACCAGAGATCTACCCCGGCGTGTTATTCAGCCAGTTTGGACTGGTTTGCGTGAACCGGATGCTAATTTTACATCTGGTTCGCCGAACCGGTAGTTGCAAGGACTCACTGGCCCCGCCCACCCCACTCCGCCCCTCCCAGGCACCTCCATGCTGTCCGTTTTGGATGCCAGGTAAGTGCAGGGCCCTTGCAGAGGCTCTGGGAGGGCGAAAAATGGGCTTCCCAGAAGTTCCGGAAACAGGTCTGTTTCTGGCCTCCAGAGCCCAGGGGAGGCTGTTTTCACCCTCCCAGAGGCTCTACAAAAATCTCCGGAGCCAGGGAAGGTCAGAAAACTCTCCCCCTCCCCTGCTGTGATGAAGGAAGCCGAGTAGGCCATGCCCACCATGGCCACGCCCACCCAGCAACTGGGCAAAGAATGGGTTGCTAAAAATTTTCAAACCCACTCCTGGATCCAATTTCTGCCCAGTTCTGTGCAATTGATGTCTCTTACTTTATATTTCTGTTTATATGTTGCAGAACTACCAACTCCCAATTTTTTCTGACTCCTAGGGAATCCCCAGATCAAGGTGTCCCCAACAAATATTTTGCATCTTAAAATCTTCTCCAACATGTAAAAAGTGAGCAACAAATAAACTTTTCACTTTATTCTCTGTGGCGCTGGTAGATCACCGGACTCTGCAACCCTTAGAGGCAATAAAGGAAGCTAAAAATAAAAACTGGGCTCCCTATTAAGTTTTTTGGGGGGGGGAATCACCTGTTCCCGTCTTAGCCATAGAACGGTAATCTGGGGTTCGGACATCCTTTCATTTTAGGATCAAAGACCGCTTGCTAATATGTAAAGCTGACCCCTGGCACTTTACAACTCTTTCTAAAGCCATGTGTAATCCACACACAAGCTACTGTCTGCCTGAATGACAGTAGCATAAGGTGATCCTGGCAGATGAGCAAGAATCCCTTGCGCAAGCATCAAAAGGTTCGCAAAGGATTACTTCTGAAATTATATGCAGTAATCTCAAGCATCTTGCTCTTTGTTCCCTGGATGGGAAAAAAGAAGATACGAGTACGTATTTTAGACTTCCCCTGCAAAACTCATTTTCACCTATCTTGTGTGTATCTTCCTGTGGAACAATATGTTGCTTGCACAAGATAATTTAGATCAGGGGTGTCAAACTCAAGGGCCGGGGGCTGGATCCGGCCCACGGGGTGCTTAGATCTGGCTCGCAGGGCCGCCCTGGAAACAGCAAAGGACAGGCCCACAGGGGACTCTGCCAGCAAAAATGGAGCTCGGGAGGGCTGTGTGTGGCCCTCCCAAGCTCATTTTTCACTGGTAGAGGGTTCCAGGAGGCCATCACAGCTGAAAACTGAGCTCATGAGGGCCACGGATGGCACCCCCAAGCTCCGTTGTCCCTGGCAGAGGGTTGCAGGAGGCCGTTGCACCCGAAAATGGAGCTCGGGAGCCCGTTTTCACTTGGGCCACCATAGGCCCCCTGACCTGAGTGACGTCGAGCTAGCCGTGCTCACCAGTGGTGGGTTTCAAAAATTTTGGGAACCTCTTCTGTAAGTGTGGCCTGCTTTCCGGGTCCACTNTTGGAGGATTTTAGAAATATTAAATGAAATGCCAGTATGTGGTTATGTATTAAATCTTGGTATATTTTATGATGAAGGACGTTTAAATAATTATAGTCAAACAAAAATGGAGCTATAAGAGTAACATGTATAAATATTTGAGTTAAAATACTTGAGTTAATATGAATTATGCTTGATAGACTGTGGAAGACATGCATGAAAACCTTTTGTAAACACTGATACACTTTCTGCAGTATGTAAAGAAGGAAGATTTTATGTGTTGTGTTTGTTTTGAAAATTAAAAATAAATTCTATTTAAAACAAGAAAAAAAATTCTACCAAAGTGCAGAAGGGTGGAGGCCTGCCTAATTGGGGGGGGGGGGGCAGTGTTCCATAGGGCCAGAGCTACCATAGAAAAGCTTGTCTTACCCAATAAATGAATCATGGAAAGATCTTTTGCTAAGGGACACAAATTTAAAACTATTAAAGTCCTAAGAATCAACTCCTATATAAAAGCAAGGAAAGGCTCTTTTTCCCCCCCCCGGCATGTATTCCAACTTCCCTTTTGAAGGGGCCCTAGGTGCTCTCTGACAGCTAGCACTGGTGATGTTACCTAGTTTGGGTAATGAAACATCTGCAAGAAAACAACCAGTCTCCGAGATTATTAAGGACCCCTCATTTCAACGCTGAGCTACACACATTCTTTATTAATTTCCTATTTGTTTCTTTACTTTTTATCTCATCCTTTTTTTCAAAGTAATACCCATAGCACTTACTTCTATTCCCCCCCCCTATGAAATATTCCCCCAAGGATTGGGGGGGGGGGAAGACACACAGTCCTTACTACCATCCCCTCTTTGAAAGACCCTGAATAAAAGTAGGAGGCAGCCGGCCTAGTAATAAAATTCTCATTGATGGCATCCCTTTCTGGATTTTCATCTCCTAAATTTTGGGATAAAATCCCAGGCTTTACTGGGTTGCCAAGAAAACTCATTGAGTTACCAGAAACATTTGGTTGTGATTGTCAGTGTATGCCCTGAAACAATGCTTAATAAAAGCTGTTTTATTTACACTTTGATTCTCATAGGATCGGAAGCTGTTTGGAATGCTCTGGAGGAGAATGACACACAAAACTTTAAAGCTGAACGAGAGTTCATTTTCAGATGCACAGCAGGTAGATATACCACCGGGTTAGCTATTGCCATTGCAGCGCTGCTATATGTCAACATGCAAGTGCATCGCTCACGCTAACATACATACATGCATAAAAACACACACACTTTCAGGAAAGGGCAGTTTTGCAAACAAACCAAAAACAAAACCGGATTTCTTAACCGCCTGCAAAAAATATGCTGCTTTTAACCGGGCTATTCGCTTTCTGCTTTGCATTTTTCTCTCTGGACCCTCAAATAAGGGGATTCTCCGGGTTGTGTTTGTTCTCCCCTTGAACCAGCTTGCAAGCGACACAATACTTCAATTGCACGCTGTCTTCACCAGGTCCCTTTCAGTGTCAAGGAACGACCCCCCCGTCCGGGTTCAATAATGGTTTCGCCCACCTTCCAGCCCACAGCCTCTATAAAGGGTGACGTGGGCGATACCAAATATCTCAAGGGGTCGTCAAAAGTAGGGGGCTCACCCAAGAAGGGTCCAAGGAGGATTGGGACCCATCGTCTGGTTCAGCCCTGAGTCGGCGAGTTCTGGCGGGGCTTCGTTCCCGGTAGACTCGGTACAACCGAGGCCCCAGCACGCAACTCAATAGCTTCGCCATCTTGGGGAAGGACCTAAAAGCCCGGTAAGCAGCACGAGACAGTGGGTGGGGAAGCCAGGGAAAACTACACTTCCGGGGTCTGTACGGGAAGGAAGAGGAGTCAAAAACTCCGTAGGCTTTTTTTTTTTTAAACGCAATGTCAACATCTGGTCCTTGAGGTAGCTCCCCCTTCAGGCGATCAGGCAGGAATACAGTAGCGCTTTATTTCAAAGCAAAAATCCGGTGGTTTTTTTGGACAGGAAAAAGTAAAAAGATGAGTGTGTACAGAAGTAGGGCGTGGGAGGGGCACCATACTGGGCAATGTTACATATGGAAAAGATGTGGGGTTCTTGATGATGAACTGTAAGCTAAACAGGCTTGAACAGTAAACTAAACACATATGATGGGGCTGGGAAAAAAAGGAAATGAAATTGCCAAGCATAATGTAGGCAATTGACAAAATGTGCATTGCAACACAGGTTGTTGTTATTCGGGTTGCCACACGAGTTGGAAATGGATGCCTAAATTGTCAGGATTAGATGATCTCATTGTTTCTACCAATTCTGTCTTGTTCAGGCTGCATCTGGTAGAACTAATACTGCAGGGCAACTAAATTTTGGACATCCATCAAATGGCATCAAAGATATTTTAAAGCCTGTGTCTGTGGAGATTCTTCCAGAGCTGAAGAAGCTTCTTGGACGAGAAGCAAAACATCTTAAAAACAAACAAACCAGAAAGTCCTGACAGAAAAATTAATCAATGGAACAATTTGCCTCGCAAAGTTGTGGATGCTCCATTACTGAAGGTTTTCAAGAAAAGATTGAACAACCATTTGTCTGGGATAGTGTAAGGTCTCCTGCCTTGGGTGCAGGGAGAGGGGTTGGACTAGAAGACCTCTGAAGTCCCTTCTAGCTGTATGATTCTATTGTAGGAAGAAATGTCCATCTGGGTTCAGTTCCAAGTGGGGAGAAAGACACTGGAAACATGGAGGCTGCTTGGAAGTGATGAAAGAAATGTCCTTCTGGGTTCGGCTCCAAGTGGNGAGGCCATCACAGCTGAAAACTGAGCTCATGAGGGCCACGGATGGCACCCCCAAGCTCCGTTGTCCCTGGCAGAGGGTTGCAGGAGGCCGTTGCACCCGAAAATGGAGCTCAGGAGCCCGTTTTCACTTGGGCCACCATAGGCCCCCTGACCTGAGTGACGTCGAGCTAGCCGTGCTCACCAGTGGTGGGTTTCAAAAATTTTGGGAACCTCTTCTGTAAGTGTGGCCTGCTTTCCGGGTCCACTGGTGGAACCTATTCTAACCGGTTCAGTAGATTTGATGAACCGGTTCTATTGAACCGGTGCGAACCTGTAGGAACCCACCTCTCGTGCTCACCCTGGCCACGCCAACTCTGTCCTCCCCCCACCAAAGTCAAATACAACCCTGATGTGGCCCTCAATGAAATCGAATTTGACACCCCTGATTTAGATTATATTTTTCCAACCTCTTGGTGCAGTGAGTGTATTACCTTCCAGAATTCCCATAAATTTCAGGCTGGAAATCTGGGACATTTAAGATCCAGAAGATCTGGGAAGGAAACTACCATAGAAAAAAATATTTCCAACTTTCTAAATCACATCCCTTCTCTCCTACAAGCTCCCCCCCCCCCCGCCAATGTAATTAAAATACCAATGTAAAAAGGTCAAGCACAGGTCTTTTATTATTGTTATAAGATTGGTATCAGAGCTCAGGGGCTTGCAAGGTCTTTGGAGAAAGCACAATTCAACCTCTGACTGCAGGATATGCTTTTGGGAATATTTCTAGGGGGGGCGGAATTTACTGTATTCACCGAGGGTATCTCCAATAGCCTAAGCCTGAAGCTTGTTACATATCTGGGCTTTGCAACTGCTCAGTTTCCAACTTACAAATGTTTATCACAATCGCATAAGGATAACTTCCTACCAACCCACACATATATCTAGTGATCATCAGCTCTTCAAGGTTTCTGAGACACTCCCCCTCCCCCGCAAATCTTATCATGAAATGACAGAATGACATCGGAACCTCTGTGCTTAAACTACATTTTTTTCTTCCTAACTTATCAATCAGCCTTTCTTTCTGAGTACACTGCATTTTTCGGACTATAAGATGAACTGGTGTATAAGATGCACCAAGATTTCAAAGAGATAAGAAAAAAATGTTTCTGTCCTCCCCAGGCCCCAAGAGCATTCTGCAGACTTCAGCAGGGGGGAGGCAAAAACGCTGTTTTTGTGAAAAACAGGCAGAAAATGGGCTGTTTTTTGCAAAAATGGGGGCATTTTTACCTTCCCTCAACCCTGCTGAAGCCTGCAGAGTGCTTTTGGGGTCTGGGGGAAGGCAAAAACACCCCCATTTTTGTGAAAATGGCCCGTTTTTCACAAAAATGGGATGTAGGGTGGGGCTTCGGGAGGCCAAAAATGGCTGCATTTGGTGTACAAGACGCACCAACATTTCCACGTTCTTTTAGAGGGGAAAAGGGTGCATCTTATACTCCCAAAAATACGGTATATATTTAGCCGTCTCTCACGAAGGCTAACATACAAAGACATAGAACCTACAGCAAGCAAAACTTTTCTGCTTTCTTCTCTTTTGTGCTGCTGAGAAGGGTCAGGGTTCTGAACTTAAGGCAGGAAGAAAAAGAAAATAAAAACCAAAAACACTGGAAATGAATACTTTCCTTGATAAAATGATTCCAAGACTTGGCAAATGGATGACCTCCAAAATGGTCCAGCTATACAGCTCTCAAGCTACCAAGGTTGATAACAAGTGATGCTTCAGATAGACCTACTAACCACATCTAAAAAAAATAAGAGGTTGCTTACTTTGATGGAAGGGTTTTATCTCGAGAAAATTTGTGTTGCACCATCACATCTGCTGAGCTGCCCTTTCATTCCTGATTCCTGGTTTTACAGCTTTGTTGTCATAAATTAATTAGATGCTGTGCAGCATTCATCTTTCCTAATCTTGAGACTCCCTCCCACAAGAAACAGAACATAAATCTCAGTGCTGCAGTTGACAGATGATGGTAACTGAACCTCAATCCCTATGCAGTGGTTTAGGAGACATAAGGCTTTAAAAACATGGTTTTGCCAACAGGTATGGGGAGCTGGAAGTATGGTAAAGATTGTGCATTGGCTGTATTGACTGCTATGGAGGAAGTTGATTACCTTGGCCATAATTTTTCCCCCTGATTTTATTTTATTTTTTTTTAAAAAAAAATTGGTTTTCTGCCTTTTATACCATTTTTAATTATTTGTGAGCTTTTATGGAGATGGGAAGCTTTATACGTTTGATTACTAAATAAAATAAACCAAACACCAACAGCATACTTGATTTCAATCGCCTTTTCCTTCCTGGTAACTTTAAGAGTTTTTCTTACAAACGGTCACTTTTATATTTTCTTTTTACACAATATCCTGCAGTGACAGGGAAGAAAGTGTCAAGATTAAGGGAATACAAGTGAGGGATGATGCTAAAGTCTGTTAGCTTATTTTAGAATATGGATGTTAATGTTAATGTTTATNTTGTCCTGCCCTCAGATGCTTTGGAGAATAGCTTGACTCCCTCTTCTCTGTAGCAGCCCCTGAGATATTGGAATACTGTTAGAGGAATTTAGGAAAAGGTTGCTGCATAAAATAATTTGTTGAAAATGAAGGGGACAATATTTTAATGACAGAGTAATCAAGCCTGATACTGTTTTGTGGCAAAATAAATATTAGACTTTTGTAAAAAGTCTAAAACCCAGAAAGCAGTCTTGAGTGGAGGTGATGGGACAGAAGACTGAAACATGTTCTCAGAGTAGAAAGATTGGGTTGACTCCCCCCACCAATTTAGTACCCTGATCCAGATGTTGAGAATATCATCTAAGAACTGGAATGGTTCTTCTCGGGTACTGATGGATTTCTGATAGGTGCGGGTGGGTGAGGCATTTAAAAAGAAGCTGGATGATCATTTATCAAGGATTCCTGCAATGGGTAGGAACCCAAGCTAGGCAATCACCAAGACCCAGAGGGGGAAAAAAGCTATGATTCTTTTCATCTGCAGGATGTTGAGAACTGTTCTCAAATACATCTAGAGGGGACCATGTTGGAGAGGTAACAGCCAGAAAGGACAGGAAAATAGTAAAATACCCACAGGATTTTTCAGTTCAATTAATTTTTCAAGGAAGGGCTGGAAAGATTTTCTTGGAGAGCCACTAGCTATTCTTCATTGTAGGCAATACAAGAGATGGCTATTTGCTAGACTAATTATGATCCAGTAACTGTGAGAAGGATCTTAGAGTCCTAATGGACGATCACTTAAATATGAGCCAGCAGTGTGCTGTAGCTGCCAAAAAAGCAGCTTCATTTACAGAGAGATAGAATCAAAATCACACGAAGTGTTAATACCATGTTATAATGCCTTGGTAAGGCCACACTTGGAATACTGCATCCAGTTTTGGTCGCCATGATGTAAAAAAAAGATATTGAGACTTTAGAAAGAGTGCAGAGATGATTAGGGGACTACAGGTTAAAACATGAAGAGGGGTTGCAGGAACTGGGTATGTCTAGCCTAATGAAAAGATGGACTGTGGATGACACAATGGCAATTTTCCACAATCTAAGAGGCTGCCACAAAGACCAATCTATTCTCCAAAGCACCTGAAGGCAGGGCAAGAAGCAATGGATGGGAACTAATTAAGGAGAGAAGCAACCTGAAACTGANAGAGAGAGAGAGAGAGAGAGATCACCTGGAGTCCTGGAGATCTGGGTGAGATATAATTTCACATAAATGATATCATGTACATTCATCTAATTCATACAAATAAAATCACTAGATGTGTTGGCTGATTGATTGATTACAGTACATGCCATTAAGTTGTTTTCGACTCCTAGCAACCACATAGATAGTCATTCTCCGTGATGATCTGTCCTCAACGTTTTCTTTCAGAGTTCCCAACACTGCTGTCACCAAGTCCATGTACCTTGCTTCTTCATCTCCTTCTTCCTCCTTCTTCCTTCTGTTGCCTCTTCTCCTTCTTCCTTCTG